TACTGATAACAAGTTCAAACAGGTGCCATTAATACAGGTAATGAGTGGAGGACAGAGGAGCCTCTTAAAGAAGAAGTTACAGGTCTGTGAGAGCCAGAAATCTTGCTTGTTTGTAGGTGACCAAATACTTATTTTCCACCATAATTTGCAAATAAATTCATTAAAAATCCTACAATGTGATTTTCTGGAAAAATGTTTCTCAATTTGTCTGTCATAGTTGACGTGTACCTATGATGAAAATTACAGGCCTCTCTCATCTTTTGAAGTGGGAGAACTTGCACAATTGGTGGCTGACTAAATACTTTTTCCCCCCTGTACATTGTAGCCGTTGCTATTTCAGAAGTTCCTAAATAATTCAGGCCAATTTAGTCAACAGTTATTTTAGTAGCCTATATAGGAATAACTTCAAAGGCGACATTGGCATCTGAAAGCTCAATTGCGAACGATAAGAAGCCCATAAAGCGATTCATAGTAAGACCACTTTATGATTAGGCTTGCGGATCCTAAACATGGACCTAAATACTGTAGGATCCTTAATAAGTCAGAGAGACTCAACTGGGGCACACAAAACATATCACCAAAATTGGCTTGGTATCAAATTATAGATAGTTATTTTGTAAAGACCTAAACAGTAGGCTAAAGTTTACAAACATCTTCCCCATCCACAGTGGAGGCTCGTGGGAGGAGCTATAGGATGACGGGCTCATTGTAATGGATGGAATGGAATAAATGGAACGGAGTCAAACATGTGGTTTCCATATATTTACATTTACATTTACATTTTAGTCATTTAGCAGACGCTCTTATCCAGAGCGACTTACAGTTAGTGAGTGCATACATTATTTTTTTTATTTTTTTTCATACTGGCCCCCCGTGGGAATCGAACCCACAACCCTGGCGTTGCAAACGCCATGCTCTACCAACTGAGCTACATCCCTGCCGGCCATTCCCTCCCCTACCCTGGACGACGCTGGGCCAATTGTGCGCCGCCCCATGGGTCTCCCGGTCGCGGCCGGCTACGACAGAGCCTGGATTCGAACCAGGATCTCTAGTGGCACAGCTAGCACTGCGATGCAGTGCCTTAGACCACTGCGCCAATCATATTTGATCTGTTTGATACCGTGCCATTTACTCCATTCAAATCAAATCAAATCAAATTGTATTTGCCACATGTGCCGAATACAATAGCTGTAGACATTACAGTGAAATGCTTACTTACAAGCCCTTAACCAACAATGCAGTTTAAAAAATATATATATATATATTTTTTAAGTGTTACGTAAAAAAAAAAGCTAATAACTAAAGAGCAGCAGTAAAACAAAAGAACAGTAGGGAGGCTATATACAGGGGGGTACCAGTACCGAGTCAATGTGCGGGGGCACCGGCTAGTTGAGGTAATTGAGGTAATATGTACATGTGGGTAGAGTTAGAGTGACTATGCATAAATAATAAACAGAATAGCAGCAGCGTGAAAGAGGGGTATGGGGTGGGGTGGCAGTGCAAATAGTCCAGGTAGCCATTATTAGCTGTTCAGGAGTCTCATGGCTTGGGGGTAGAAGCTGTTGAGAAGCCTTTTGGACCTAGACTTGGCGCTCTGGTACTGCTTGCCGTGCGGTAGCAGAGAGAACAGTCTATGACTAGGGTGGCTGGAGTCTTTGACAAGTTTTAGGGCCTTCCTCTGATACTGCCTGGTATAGAGGTCCTGGATGGCAGGAAGCTTGGCCCCAGTGATGTACTGGGCCGTACGCATTACCCTCTGTAGTGCCTTGCGGTCGGAGGCTGAGCAGTTGCCATACCAGGCGCTGATGCAACCAGTCAGGATGCTCTCGATGGTACAGCTGTATAACTTTTTGAGGATCTGAGGACCCATGACAAATCTTTTCAGTCTCCTGAGGGGGAATAAGCTTTGTCGTGCCCTCTTCACGACTGTCTTGGTGTGTTTGGACCATGATAGTTTGTTGGTGATGTGGACACCAAGGAACTTGAAGCTCTCAACCTGTTCCACTACAGCCCTGTCGATGAGAATGGGGGCGTGCTCAGTCCTCTTTTTTTTCCTGTAGTCCACAATCATCTCCTTTGTCTTGATCACGTTGAGGGAGAGGTTGTTATCCTGGCACCACACGGCCAGGTCTCTGACCTCCTCCCAATAGGCTGTCTCATCGTTGTCGGTGATCAGGCCTACCACTGCTGTCTCGTCGGCAAACTTAATGATGGTGTTGGAGTCGTGCCTGGCCATGCAGTCATGGGTGAACAGGGAGTACAGGAGGGGACTGAGCACGCACCCCTGAGGGGCCCCCGTGTTGAGGATCAGCGTGGCAGATGTGTTGTTACATTTACATTTACATTTTACATTTTAGTCATTTAGCAGACGCTCTTATCCAGAGCGACTTACAGTTAGTGAATACATATTTTTTTTATACTGGCCCCCCGTGGGAATCGAACCCACAACCCTGGCGTTGCAAACGCCATGCTCTATCAACTGAGCTACATCCCTGCCGGCCATTCCCTCCCCTACCCTGGACGACGCTGGGCCAATTGTTACCTACCCTTACCACCTGGGGGCGGCCCGTCAGGAAGTCCAGGATCCAGTTGCAGAGGGAGGTGTTTAGTCCCAGGATCCTTAGCTTAGTGATGAGCTTTGAGGGCACTATGGTGTTGAACGCTGAGCTGTAGTCAATGAATAGCATTCTCACGTAGGTGTTCCTCTTGTCCAGGTGGGAAAGGGCAGTGTGGAGTGCAATAGAGATTGCATCATCTGTGGATCTGTTGGGGCGGTATGCAAATTGGAGTGGGTCTAGGGTTTCTGGGATAATGGTGTTGATGTGAGCCATGACCAGCCTTTCAAAGAACTTCATGGCTACAGACGTGAGTGCTATGGGTCGGTAGTCATTTAGGCAGGTTATCTTAGTGTCCTTGGGCACAGGGACTATGGTGGTCTGCTTGAAACATGTTGGTATTACAGACTCAGTCAGGGACATGTTAAAAATGTCAGTGAAGACACTTGCCAGTTGGTCAGCACATGCTCGGAGTACACGTCCTGGTAATCCGTCTGGCCCTGCGGCCTTGTGAATGTTGACCTGCTTAAAAGTCTTACTCACATCGGCTATGGAGAGCGTGATCACATAGTCATCCGGAACAGCTGATGCTCTCATGCATGCTTCAGTTTTGCTTGCCTCGAAGCGAGCATAGAAGTGATTTAGCTCGTCTTGTAGGCTTGTGTCACTGGGCAGCTTGCGGCTGTGCTTCCCTTTGTAGTCTGTAATAGTTTTCAAGCCTTGCCACATCCGACGAGCTTTGTATGCGTCTCTGTGTGTGGAGTAAAGGTGGTCTAGAGTTTTTTTTCCTCTGGTTGCACATTTAACATGCTGGTAGAAATTAGGTAGAACAGATTTAAGTTTCCCTGCATTATAGGATTCTTTGTTTTCACATGCAAAAGTGATTAATATATTTTATCTGCCTTCTCAATGAAAACTAGTTGGAAATTCAAACATATTTTATGGAAAAGAGATCTTGTATGTTTCTGTATGATGCACCATGCTGCCTTGTTGACAACATCACTGAACAGCGCAGATTACTGTTCGATTTGAGAAGAGCGCTCCTGCCTCACCGCTTTTGCCCGTTCACGTCATGGGCCATGGACCGGTGCCCGGTGGCTCAGCATAATCGAATCCGCCAACAGAGCTGCACAGCCTGCCCATCTGCCCTACCATTGGACACGTGTGGATGGCTTAGGACACATTAGCGCCATCTCATTTGCTCTAGACAGTGACAATTGTCTTGGGAGGTGTAAGCATATTACAGTAAAGAGCCACTGGAGTGTACATTACTTAACTACTCCCAAACTGTAGCTAGTGTATATCCCTCTGTGTTCACAAAGTAGGCAAAAGGCAGGGCTCCTTTTTTACAAGGAGCATGTGTGCCAAAGTTGGAAAGTGTAGGCGCACCTCAAAAAAATTAGGAGCACATTGAAAAATATTTGAGGTATTAAAGCTAGAACTTATTGTAATTGACAAGAATACATGGCTACTGTTCCTGGGTGACAGTGAGAGATGTTATAGTACCATCTTCTGTCTGACTAATGCTATATCATGATAGTAGTATACGATCCCTGATAATGAAGGAAATGTAGGCCAGTAGTCTACTGTAGTTTATAAACTCAGTTATGACTGAAAGCATATTCAGATAACTTGCTAATATAGATTATGTCAATCAATCATGAATCATATGGTGCTGCACACACACATTGTGATGCAAAACATACTACTTATACTTCCCTCTCTTCTTTGTTCAGTTCAAGCTGTTTCCCAAATGTTGGGTGGGGAAGGACCACTGGTGAGTCACAGGATCACTGTGGTGAGTCACACAGTTAGTTTCCACTGGGCTGTGCATGCATAGTTGGTCTGTGGTAGGATTGGAAAATACTATTTTGTTCACCTTGAGTTGAGGGACACATGAACATTTGAAGGCTTGAGGAAGGTCTAGCACCAAAATGTAGCAATGTTGATAGACTGTGCAATGGGAAAACATTATTTAAATTATATATTTATGTCAACAACAGAAAACATGTTTATCTCTTATCTAATCTTGATTTATCCAGGTCAATCTTCTTGAAATAAATATATTTTACTATTTGAGAAGTTTGTTTAGGAAAGTATTTGGCTGGGCAAATACAATAAACCAATCATTTTCCATTTGCCACCAACGCCCAGTGATTCTAGCCAACCTCCCATCGCTATGGAACAAAAGACAAAAATACTGTAGTTCGACACCGCCCTGTTCCGGTTGTCAGTAGCTAGTAACCACAGCCACAAAGTCAAAATTGGCTATATCGTACACATTCATGAAAACAAACATTTGTTTTTTGGTCTTAATTTAATGTTAGGGTTAGGCATAAGGTTAGCTATGTGGTTAAGGTTAGGGTCAGGTTTAAAATCAGATATTAAGAAGATCAATTGTAGAAGTAGGCGGGGTTTAGCCATAATTATGACTTTGTGGATGTGGTAACAAGTGACGACCACCCTTTTCTCCTCAGCTTTCTGTTTTCAAGGTAGATAGACTGGCACTGTGTACATCAATCGGTGCGGTGATATCACTGAGAGGTCACAGTTTTACAGGTCTCTGCAAGGTGTATAGTGAACACAGCTGGTGGACATTGAACCGAGGTATGTGTTGGTGCTTTTGTTGGCGGGGTTTGTGCATGCTGTAAATGTGTAGCTAGCGCGAGCTAACCCGAAGACGTTTCTCCTTTCTTTTTCAACGTGGTGACGTGCGCTAGCCATATACAGTAGCTAGCTAACAGAAAAGTCACCATGTTCGTTCACAATAATAGTAATTTAGACCAAGACCGTGTCTGTCAGACTCCCATTCTACTACTTAAATATTTGACAAGCAAACTGAGAAAAGTAGCTAGTTAGCTAAACGTGAGCATGCTAACTTTAGCGAGTTAGCTAATGTCAACTGCACTCACTAAATGTCAAATCGCTGAATCAATGACTTGTCAATAGCGAGATGCTTATAAGTGCAGGTTGATTTGTAGCCATCTATATTCAAGTAATATTAACAATTCAAGCTTGGTACATTTCTGTCTTGGTCTTCCTTTCTCCTTTACTTGTCGTGAGTGTCAGCCAGTGAGTGACGCTGCCAATAGCAATGTCAGAAAGAAGCCCATCTGTCATCTTCTGCAACAGTCACGTACCTTATTGCAATAATGCTTTGGTTCACTTTGTTGACTACAATAGCTATTTATTTTCCCACGTTGTCTTACTGCCATATGTTGACATGGGTAAAGGGAAGGAAGGTGTTACAATGTATTTGATGGTCAGCTTTGTTTTCCAGTTGGCTTAGATATTAATTTACAAATGATGTACTATGGCGCAATGACGTCTACACAAGTGGGAATTGTATAGTCATATCAATTCAGACATCTGTTTACTATTATGCGAAAACAACTGCAAATTGTTTTGGATGTGTTTAGGTTTACAACTTCATTTGCATAACAAAATATAGGATACATGCAACTCATTCACTATCCTCTCATTGCACATACCCTAAACATGTTCCTTGATATGTTGCAGGCAGCTAGAAACCATATTCATTTGAGGTAGCAGTAATCATGTTTTGATCCACACAGCAATGAGCTTACTTTGGTAACCTTCAGCTTGAAAGAACTGTTTATCATCTGATTACCTAGGAAACCAAACATCATGATAACTCCAATGGCTGAAAGCTAGGCTATTCATGCCTCAGTTTGTTTATTGTTGTACTGCCAGGCTCTGATATAGCTTTGGTCAGATGATTCATTGCCTAGATATGCATGTAAAAGACAGCCAGAAGGCCTATTTGCAAACTGAGTGCTGGACTGCTCGTCATTCAGGTTAAGTTTGGGCCTAAAATGCTGAAAGAAGGTTCAGGATGGCCACGTAATTCACTTCAATAATGCTGATGCAGTTTGGAGCAAGCTCCATAGTCAGAGAATTTGGTTAATGCCTGACTTTCTGTATATAACAACAACACTACACCGTTACCTTCATACAATGACCAGTTGGTTTAAATAGAAACAGCCCTGATGATAGCCTCCTTGTCCTATATTATGATTTGAGGAGGATACTAGAGGTGGAGAGGGCCCCTCCAATCAGGAGGTGTGTTTTGGCTGCGGAGCTAGGCTAAGTAGAGGTAGAGAGTTATAAATGGATCAGAGAGGTGGAGGGCTTACCGTGCTATCAGGGCTTAGTCCTAGCTGGGAAGGAGGAGTTATCTTTTATCATTTGCCTTTTGAATTCTGCTGGAGTCACTAGGCTCTATGAGCTGGTTGAATTCATCCACATGGCCTATTTTGTCTTTTCTAATGCTACAGGGCAAATTCTATTTTTAAAAAATCACGTGAGAAAGTCTTTGTCAAATGTGCAGAGAATAATCACATCTAACGAACACTTGTTTCTGTTGTCCGGTGGTCTCATAGTAAACTCAAGGATGTCTCGAGATCTGTCCCTGGACATTAACATCAAGGAGCCGCGATGGGACCAGAGCACATTCATGGGCCGCGCCCAGCACTTCTTTTTCGTCACCGACCCCAGGAACATCCTCAAGTCCTCTAAGACCCTGGAGGACGCACGGGTCACTGTGGAGAACTACAGGTACAGGGGAGGGAGAGGAGAGGAGGTGTAATGGGGGAAGAGAGACAGGACACATAAGGGAGGAGGGTGGTTGATCCCGGGAACATTCTAAAGTCCTCTGAGATGCTGGAGGACACACCGGTCTCTGGAGAGAACTACAGGTATGGAAAGGTGGTGGAGTGAGAGATTCATGTGATGGGGGATGAGAGGAGAGGTATGTAGGGGTGGTATGGTGTGGGTTATATTAGAGGGGTGGTGTACTGTGGCCTAAAATATGAAGGGTAAGATGGAAGTTACCCTGGCCCCTGGGGAGGAATTCCTTTTCATTCATGTATGAGCATGGACTCAATCGACAGCAGTGTCTCTAGTCTAAACTGAGGAGTTTAAGGAGCTAGCTAGTTGTCGCCAACCTGATATCTCTCTTCTCCCCCCATGGTGTAATAGGAGAAAGAAACAGACAGACCACTAATTAGGCTTGTAGGCTGCAACATCTGTCATACCGGTTTCTCTCTTACATCAGAGATGAACTAAAAACACGAAAATAAGACTAAGCTGTGTCTTTGTTATAAAGAAATGCGGAAATGGGCATATTCCATCAAAACAATGTACTTATAGTATGCTTTACGGGCCGCAGTGGAGAGGGTGAAAAGCTTTAAGTTCCTCAGAGTGCACATTACTGACAACCTGAAATGGTCCAGCCACGCAACGCCTCTTCAACCTCAGGAGGCTGAAGAAATTTGGCTTGGCCCCTAAGACCCTCACAGACTTCTACAGATGCACCATTGAGAGCATCCAGTCGGGCTGTATCACCGCCTGATATGGCAATTGCACCGTCCGCAACCGCAGGGCTCTCCAGAGGGTGGTGCGGTTAGCCCAACGCATCAGCGGGGGCACACTGCCTGCCCTCCAGAATGTCTACAGCATCCGGTGTCACAGGCCAGGAAGATCATCAACGACCTCAGCCACCTGAGCCATGGCCTGTTCACCCCGCTGCCATCTAGAAGGCGGAGACAGTACAGGTGCATCAAAGCTGGGAACGAGAGACTGAAATGGCAAGAATCAGACAAGCTAACAGGCAGGCCACAAACGGGTAAATAAGGATGCACAACGGCATCTCGGAGTGCACATCTCGTCGGTCCTTGTCACGGATGGGCTATTGCAGCAAACGACCACACCACTCCTATCAGCTAAAAACGAGAAGCGGCTCAAGTGGGCACATGATCACCAACACTGGACAGTTGAGGAGTGGAAAAACATCGCCTGGTCCGACGAGTCCCGGTTCCTGTTGAGGATTTGCCATAAGCAGCATGAGTCCACGGCCCCATCCTGCCTGGTGTCAACAATACAGGCTGGTGGTGTAATGGTGTGGGGAATGTTTTCCTGGCACACGTTAGGACCTTTGATACAAATTGAGCAATGTTTCTATGCCCCGAAGAATTCCAGATGTTCTGGAGGCAAAGGGGGTTCTGACCCGGGACTAGATGGGTGTACCTAATATATTCCGGACTCTCCGGACTCTGACATTGCTCGTTCTGATATTTCGTTTTGGGATTTATGTGTATTGTTAGGTATTACTGCACTGTTGGAGCTAGAAACATAAGCATTTTGCTGCACCTGAGATAACGTATGCAAAATATGTGTACATGACCAATATAATTTGATTTGTTAAAACATTGTAGGTAGGGTAAGCTTTAGCCTATATTTATTTTAGCACGTTTCTGTGAATCAAAGATCGCAATTAGTTGCCCTGATGCTAAGAATGTATATGTTTCATTCATGCATTCATTGTTTAGAGGATGTGCTTGTGTCCAGGTTAGGAGTGGTGAAGCCAGGTCTGACAGAAGATGAGCTGTGGAGAGCCAAGTACGTCTATGACTCTGCCTTCCACCCTGACACCGGAGAGAAGATGGTGGTAGTGGGGCGTATGTCAGCGCAAGTCCCCATGAACATGACCATCACCGGCTGTATGCTCACCTTCTACAGGTACCACTGGGTTGGATGACGTTTTCAATTCAATACATGTTAAACACAATTTGTGTATAGTGTAAAGTGCATACATAAAAACAGACACAGAGCAGCATACTACAAGAGGAATAAAAACATTTGATGAGGTGAAATGTTAAGAATGTTGTAGATCGAAATGTAGAGGCACATATCAGAGAGATGCGGCAGGGATATTTCAACATTCTTCATGAGGATTAAATCTCCACCCACACTGTGCTGTGAATGCTGTCGATGGTGCATGCTGTGATGTAATGCTGGCGCTTTCTGGCTTAACTTGATCAAATGCACCATATGGGGAGCTCATCCTCTTCTCTCTTGCTCTATAGTACGCTATGCCAGGAATTTTTCTAGGACAAAAAAGTGCATAGAATCGCGTAAAATAAATGTAGCATGTTAGAATTGTCATTTTACTCACTTAATGGCGTAAACAACCTATGCAGTTAACTTTCCCGAACAGTGTGGTCTCAGCTGAAGACTGGGCTCCATGGTAGTGTTCTGTGTGTTAGGGCGGCAGGTAGCCTAGTGGTTAAGAGCTTTGGGCCAGTAATCGAAAGATTGCTGGTTCGAATCTCAATGCCGACTAGGTGAAAAATCTGTTGATGGGCCCTTGAGCAAGGCACTTAACCCTAATTGCTCTGGATAAGAGCATCTGCTAAAATGTAAAACATTTTTATTTTTTTATCTTGAGGACATGGGAAAGGAAAATTCCTAAGCCTTTTAATGAGGGTCAGGACACAGCTATTGGCCTTGCAGCGGGTGGATGCCTTGGATTGTTATCATGTTCTCAGTCTGCATACCTTCCACTGGGCCTCTACATCCCTGCTCAGAGGGCAAGACCGGAGTAGCACACTGCAGATATTGTTGTGTGAATGAAAGTGAAGTGCATACAATCATAGTCACACTGTAAATTATGGAAACAGTGCACAGAAGTGGAAAGCGACATTTTGAGCTGTTTACAAGTCGTGATTTAGCTTTGTTTGAATGATCAATTCAAGCAATCTGCCTCTGAATTAAATATTTGACCTCTGGCCTGCTAGCTCCCCTACCTCTACGGAAGCACAGTTCCCGCTCAGCCCAGTCAAAGCTATTCCGGAAACACTTGAAACCCTACCTCTTTAAGAAATACCTGGAATAGTATAAAGTAATCCTTCTACCCCCTCCCCCATCACCCCATAAAAACAAAAAAGGGGTTGTCCCACTGGCTATCATAAGTTGAATGCACCAATTTGTAAGTCGCTCTGGATAAGAGCATCTGCTAAATGATGTAAATGAAATGATTCATGCTTGTTCACACTCTCTCACTTTCCCCCTTTCCTTCTCTCACATCTCTCCTTTCCCTCCCCTTCTCTCCCCCTTCTCCCTCTCACCCCGTCTTGACCCTCTCTCCTCCAGGACGACTCCAGCGGTGGTGTTCTGGCAGTGGGTTAACCAGTCCTTCAACGCTGTGGTCAACTACACCAACCGCAGTGGAGACGCTGCCCTCACCACCAAGTAGGGAATGGGACCACTAACACCACAACCACATTACTAACCCAGCCCTGCTGAACCTGTACTAGGATGCATCGCATAGCCTTAACTAGCTTCCTCTCCTCATCTGCTTTCCTTCATCAGTACTGATCTGAAAGGACATGGATAGGTGGAAGCAAATCCCCGTAACACGTCCCATCTGTTGCTTTCACCTGTCTTCTCTTTTCCTATCGGTGCAGACAAAGGAAAGGAGGCAAGGAGAGAAGACTATAGTAGACTATTGAGATGCACCCCTAGCTCTGTATGGAGGCCTGCAGGGCAAAGCAGAGGCTAGCCAGTGGAACCCCAGTCCACTACACTCCTCCTCTTACAGCGGTATTACACCCCACTCTTTAGTTCAGCATGCTCCTCCATTCCAACTGAAAGGCTGTAGCTGGTAGAGGAAGCAAGGTATTTGCATACGTCTTTCTGGTCTGGGGCCATATGTATCAAGCGTTTCAGAGTAAGAGTGCTGATCTAGGATCATGTCACCCCCCCTGTGCATATAATCCCATGCATTGTGATCTAAAAGGGAGAACGGATCCTAGATTAGCACTCCTACTCTGAGGCTTTTGATACATACAGCCGGTGGTGGAGAGACTGTACAAACCAGGGCTGTATCTCAAAAGCTGGTAGCGTCTTCCTCTCTTACGTCTGCACCAATCTGAAAACACATGATCGGTGAAGGGTTTACACTATGTTGCTATCAGATTTCACCTGTCAAATCAGTGCAGATGAAGGGAAGAATACAAGGACAGGATTCCACTTTTAGACTATTGAGATGCACCCACTCTAACCAGGACACATGAGGAATGGGAGCCCACGATGCTGGTGCTCTTCAGAAACCATCATGGAACTAGCATGTAAAGACTGGGGGCCATTCATGAATCTCTCTACACAATAATGACTTGAACTGTACATCATCATGTCTTTGCCTGACTTGTCAAGTTTCGGTGTTCAATGAATGTTGCTTATGACTTGACGGCCTTGACTACATTCCGTATGCATTGTGACCTGAGACTTCTGTATTTAGGATCATTCTGTCTGTGTATCAGACTCGACTCTGGTAAATGCCTGGAACGGCTCAGTAAATTGTGAGATGTAAATGTCTTTGTGTGATGTTCTGTCAGTCAGCTGGCTGCAGCGTACGTCAGTGCCACCACAGGAGCCGTAGTCACAGCCCTGGGACTCAAGTCTCTAGCCAAGGTACTGGACTGTCTCTGGATCATCTTAGTTCAAGTTGATTTACACTTCGCACATTTGCTTTGCATTTTTTGGGCGCCGTGAAAAATCTACATTGAAACAAACTCTCTCCCCAGCGCCTTCCAGCCGTCATGAGCCGGTTCGTCCCCTTCTTTGCTGTAGCGGCTGCCAACTGTATTAACATCCCCTTCATGAGGCAGAGGTGAGCTAGAGTTTAGACACCACAACTCTTGAGGTCTTTCTAACTAGGGACAAAGGTTTTCCTTAGCATTATCGTTTTGGTCAGCTCTGAGGGGTTAGGACTGGGTTGCTGTCAAACACTTTTGTTTCAAATTGATTTGCAAAAGAACGTTATACAAATGAGATTGATTAATATTGCCATGACAGGTTTGGTTGAATTCCATCCTCTCCCTCTTCTTAGGGAGCTGAAGTACGGCATCCCAGTGACGGATGAGAATGGGAACCGGTTAGGAGAGTCCGTCACCGCTGCCAAGTCAGGCATCTTCCAGGTGGTGGTGTCCAGGATCGGCATGGCTGTGCCAGCTATGGGTAAGCACTGTGTTTCACACATGATGGGTTGAACATTGTTTTGTTTTATCTGGTGGGACACAGCGCAAAAAAGTTTGGGAACCACTGGGCAAGGAGTTGACATACAGTTTCAAACCAGATCAATTGGTCATGTGTAATTTGGTCCGAAACTCACTATCCTCACACCAGTACTTCTGGGAAAGATGATTAGCAAAGCCTCCTTAAAACCGTAGATGACTATCAGAATCAACAATGTGTTGTGAAATAACAGAAATGTTTTCTGTCTGTGTTTGTCTGTCTGTCCACAGCTATCCCCCCTGTGATCATGAACGCCCTGGAGAAGAAAGCCTTTATGAAGGTAATGTTACAACAGCCAGATGCCTGTCATGCTTTCTACAGCAAATGGGCTTACTGGAGCTGGTTCTACAGTCAGTGTGTGTAGAGGAGAATCTGTGGCGTGTAGCCACTGTTTTACAAGGCCCACCCTATATTTGGAGTTCAAACCAAACTGTATGGTTCAGCCATGTAAAATATGCAACGCAATTTGTTTGGAAATCCAGGCTTCTGTGCCTCGTCTGTCTGTCTATCCTGTGCTGATCCAGTAAATCTCTAGCCTGGTCCCAGATCTGTTTGTGCTGTTTTGACAATTACCATATGAATAAGCAAGATGGCACAAACAGATCTGGGACCACGCCTGTAAATCGCTGCAATACTGTCAGTGTAACGTCTGTATACTGTTAAAAAATATATTTAAAAAAGAATGAACAATTGCTTCAGGTTGGTGTCTCTCTCACTTTGTTCTCTCCTCAGCGGTTCCCAGTCCTAAACGCCCCAGTACAGGTGGGACTGGTGGGTCTGTGGTAAGTATCTATCTATAGTTAATGTTACAGTAAACAGTTTGTTTGGTACATGTTTCATCCACGTTATCTGTTATAAGTCCTCTCGCAATGACATGCACTGTAAGCAAACTAACCATAACATTTAAAATGGACTGGAGCTCTTAAACTGAACGTCGCGATTGCATACCATGTGTATTGCACGGTTTACTTAAACTCTGGTTGAACAAAACCTCCCGTCTCTCTTTCAGCCTGGTGTTTGCCACTCCTCTGTGCTGTGCCCTGTTCCCACAGAAGAGGTACATTATGGCCATCTGTTATATACCTTAGATATAGACCGTGGATCTGCTTTTCCTACACAACTGTCTAATCAATCATTTTATCTCTCTTTCTGTCTCCCCTTCTCTCTCTCATCATCTCTCTCTCCCTCTCTCTATATAGTTCTATGGCTGTGAGCAGCCTGGAGCCAGATCTACAGGAGAGGATACGACAGAGCAGTCCCCACACTACTACAGTCTTCTTCAACAAAGGCCTGTAGGACCACCCAACCACACACACCACAGACCAGCCCCCTCTGTTGGCTGGAGCCTGCTAGCACAGCTAAGCGGGCAAAGAGAATATTATATTTATGCTTATTTTTGTATTTACCTGTTTGTTTACTATGATGTTTGTTATAGGCTTTAGGATTTGATTTGATTAGGGAGAGATGATGGTGAGGGGTGCGTCTCAGTCCTACAAAGTTGCTTCCTTTCCTTGTCTGGTGTGTTTATCCTCCCAGAGATTGTGGCTGTTTAGTTACTGACTGCTCTACTCCAATCACCACTAACTAGATACGTATTCAACCCCAGAGATAAAAAAAAAAAAATTATCCCCAAAGTGTATTTGTTATTTATTGCCCTTGTGTTTGAGATCGTACCCTTTTGAGCTGTGTGCACTGAAACCCATTCATGACTTAGAAAATAGTTAAATGTAATCTGCTAGATGGATATCCACTCCCTCAAGTTGGCTCAACTGTAGTCTGTAGCACAGGTAGTGAAGGATAACAGTTGGTTTATGAGCACACTAGACTGACCCATTATTGAATTCCTTTTTGGGACTACCAGGGTTTTGTTTTCCGTTGCTAAATGTTTTGCTCCAGTGAGTGTACCCCAATGAACTTGACCCAGTTGACGAGCACAGTTTCTTTCTTTCCCCCTTGGAAGTGCACACACACTGTCCCACCTCAACCCCTCTCAGCCTAGTGCACCGGGAACCCTGTGCGTTTGTGTTATCAAGAAAACCGCTAGAGATGCAATGACACTGCATGAGATTTCAGTAAGCACATCCCCAGTAGCACTGATGACAATGATATGCCAGAAGAAAGGTTTATATAGGACAGGATCTAGGCCTAATGTTTCAGCCCCATATCAAGGCCTTTCATGATTTGAAAACACTTTATGGATGAATTTGGATAGTGTCTGTGCATTTTCAATGGAACTCATGAATAATTGTTGGTGAAATTTGTTCCGTGCATTACTATTGCCATTTGAAGGGGAATGTACTGTATTGTGTCTAAATGTTAAAGGAATTGTATCCATGTTTTGTCCTAACCACCCTGCCACAGCCCCCCGGTCAGTCAGTTTGACGCTCCTGGTGTCTCTTTAGTCATTCTTCTGTTACAACAGAGAAGAAGAAGAGTTGACTTGCAATGGTGACATAGAGACCGAGACGTGTGGTGGGGCCAATTTATGCAATAAGAAGCAAGGGAGTAAAAATGAATCCCAGTCTATTTGATGTCAGCTTTAGATTAATTGTGTTGTGGTGATGTGTGCCAAATAATATAGTTTTATTGTCATAAAACAAAGTTGTGAGAACCAGGGGTCTTAAACTACAGGCCCGCAGACCAAATGTGGCTCCCAAGCTTTTAATGTGGCCCGCGGTTGTCTTAGTAAATGCAGCCCGCGGTCATAAAAGGTTTGAGACCCCAAGTCTTAAAGGAATACGTCGAGATTCTTGCATTTTCTACTTACCCAGATTCTGATGAACTCGTAGATACCAGTTGTATGTCTATACATGCAGTGTGAAGGAAGTTAGAGATATTTCTGCGGGCCCAATGCTAACTAGTGTTAGCACAATGACTGGTAGTCTACATGTACGCTAGCATACGCTTAAAAAAAGGCTTAATTGCTAGAATCTCGCAGTATCCCTTCAACCTTGTGTAAAAGGAAATCATCAGTAGATTGTAGGACAGTTGGAAGTAATGCTTGGATCTTTAGTTCCCGTGTGGAAAATCTGTGCTTAGTTACAGCATCCCTGATCAAACCTGGGCTATAATACAGTATATTAATGTTTAATATACAGCTAGATGTCGAGTGTAGTAATAATATGGTTGTTTAGTAGTCTAGACTATTTCGTACCAACTGAGTTTAACTTTGTGTGGTCGAAATAGAGTATGTACAATAGGTATATTTTTGTGGGATTAAGATGACATAACAGGATATATTTAACAAATAAGGTATTAGAAGATTTTAAACTTCAGGGTGCACTGCTCCATTTCTCCACCAGGTGGCGGAGTTTATTCAACTGGATGTTAGAACAACTATTACACATTTTAATAATAAGATGCCACTTAGCAGACGCTTTTATCCAAAGCGACTTACAGTCATGCGTGCATACATTTTTGTGTATGGGTGGTCCCGGGGATCGAACCCACTACCCTGGCGTTACAAGCGCCGTGCTCTACCAGCTGAGCTACAGAGGACCATTTTCATTGTGTGTCAGTTGACTTTGAATATAGTAGTCAAAACCACCCATCAATATTGGCCCGGCTGATTTTAGTACGTCTCCGTCACGTAGCCTGGTCCCAGATCTGTTTGTGCGGTCTTGCCAGGCTATAGGTCACCTTTTCATCTATCAAAGTCAGTATTGCATGCCTACCAAACCACTCTGCTTGGTAGTTGTAGTTCATATCTCTCTGAATGAAATCAGAGGATATTTATCCAATGAAGACACTTGTGATCACACTTGTGATAGGACGTCATCAATTGGTCATGAATGAATCTCCTCCTCACAGACTGACACAAACTTGCAAACACATTTTTTTATCACTATTGTTAGTAATGAATCCGCATAGCCTGGTCCCAGTTCTGTTTATGCAGTCTTGTTTAGTGTGACAATGACCAGGGGATTTCTGTTGCATCTTGGGTAAAAATGTATTTGGCCTGCAATTGGGTGCTGTGTAATAACCAATGTAAAGGGTGGGAGTGTGGGGTACCACTTTCTATATGTGTATGTGTGTGTACTGTTTCTATAATTTGCTTGACAGTGCGTATGATATAAACCAAGTCACAGCTTACTATTACGAGCTTAGAGTAAGTTAGTTATCCAGCACTAGCAGCTGCTAGCTTTCATTATTTTATCACCGCCATTTAGCTTTTCCTCATTTAGTTGTTTTTTGGTCGGGAGGGCAAGGAAATGTGACTAGAACAAAAATGAAACTATAGCCTTTATAGCTAGATTGTGCTGACAGAAACATGCAAGGCTTGAGATTGAAGAAGTAGAAAACGCTCTTTATATGACAAGCCTCTCAGGCTATCCTCATGCTATAACTTTCATATGAAATATATCTCTAGGTTTAGCTTAGGCATGTAAATGTTTTATATATTATTCAATATATCTCTAGGTTAGCTTCGGCATGTCATGGAATTTGGTCTCGGCAGCACATTGAAGGCACAACACGACGTCGCTACACTCCATTAATGTTTCATGTCAATGTGTGTCCATGTACAGTAACTCACGGTTATTCAGTACATTTACATTTACATCATTTAGCAGACGCTCTTATCCAGAGCAGTACCCATGTAGTTGTCAGTATTGGTGCTCACTACTTGTTCTTTCCCCCTCTCCATTTTGAGTTGAGTTGGAAGATGTTCCGTCACACCTGGACTATGGAAGATGTATTTACTAAGAGCTATAGAATAAAGTGATTGAAATGTCTGAATGAGTTTTCTTTCTCAGGCCAATGACAAACTGTACTGTTCAGGGAGGTGTTCATTAGGCATCAAATGAAGACAAAGTGAATGTTCCACACCATTGTGCCCTGCTGAACGTACCCATTTGAGGGTGGGTCACTCACTCTGCATTGCTCAATGTTTACAGACAGCAGTGCTGGCAGTCTTCCAGCAACAAAGGAGTGGTCCTACAGGCTGACTCAGCTTCATTCAATCCGTAGCACAGAAGACCTGCGTTGTAGCGCGGTTGAAATGTAAAGGGAACGAAGCCTTACTCCCTATAGTACACAAACGCCAACCATGGACTGAGGTAAACTCTCTCCACTTGTTTCGTAGGCCACCTTTGTCCAACTGCCAGTAAAAACAGGGAGGGATTGAAAAACACAAGTAGCAAATCTCTTGGTGCACAGCTACGTAAGCAGAGATAAGCAGCTGAACAGAGAAGTTGTGACTGTATGTTACGGAAACAAACATATCTACTTATGAAAGAGATAATATGTTCAGAATGTTTTCTAGAACATCCTGCCCGTCCAGAGAAGGAAAGAGACGGAGGAGGATGGTGTGACGGTGGTTTATTGTGGTTTGCATCCTCTCTCTCACACCTGCTTCCTGCCAACCTGGCCATAGTGAGTATGTTGAGGCAGTGTGTGTTTGGGTATCAAACCTGCTCCCCTCGTCGCCGAGTTTACAGTCAGGTCTTCATTAATAACACACATTGACCACACACACATTAATTCACAGGTATAACGTGAAACACATTTAGCCAAGTTACTAGACTGACTTTACGTACCGAATACAGATGCACAGAACCATGCATTCCTCAAGTTGAGTTTAACGCCCTTAGAGACTGCAATAAAAGTGTGAAACACTATAGTTGTAGATATACAGTCCCTCTCTCCCAAGAGATGAGTAATGTTCAAGTGTTCTCACAGTTTAGTGCAAGCAGTAAGGTCCCTGATTGAGAATACCTTTATTTAACCAGGTAAGTCATGAGAACCCATTCTCTTTTACAATGACGACCTGACCAAGACCTTAAGCCTACAGAACACTGTCTAGTTGGTACAACTTGGTGTTTCCACATCTAGAGAAAAGACATAGGAAAAAGGTCCACCTCGTCTTCCAATGGGCTTATGAGTGCAGGGAGTTAAGGGGGTCAAGATCTTATAAGCAGTGGAGATCATCATTCACCTGAGCATTCTAGAACATTCACATTGTTATTGAGGAAATGACACATTCTATGATGGACAGAGCTAGCCATAATAGAAATCATGAAAGGTTAGTGCACGAGAACTACAGATACGGAAAATGCCCTTTTCTTCAAGTTTAAATGTCATACACAATTCTAAAACACGTGTATTGTTGTTGGGATAAGGTTCCATTTTGTGAATGGAAAAAAGAAACAAAAAAACGAATGCAGGAAATAAACCAGTATTTGTTTCTGAGGACTCTTTTTTTTGTGTTGATCTAATGCTACTAAGTTTGTGAACACAAAACTAACCATCTATTGCACTGGCACAATTCTCTTGGCGGCCTCTAAAACATCTTCATTCTCCACTTTGTTGCCAAACTCCTTCTCCCTGTGCTCCAGAAGAATGCCCTGAGGAGGAAAAAATACACATTCATTTAAAAAAGGGACCTACGTAATACCAAACAAGCTCAACACAATATAACAACAATGCTGCTGCGCTCTGTCTATTCATTTAGGTTGAACCGTGTTTGTATCCATATTGTCCTGGAGGACTTCCTTCCATTGTCTCTGCTCATGGCTACTGATTACTAAGGAGTTGACAGCAGATACAAAGTGTGTGTCATCTGCAGCACTGGATCCTTCATGGGTGAGTCTCTACCCTCGTACATGTGTGTTGGCAGTTGGAGACTAAAGGTGTCAGCATGCTTCGGTTCGGCTGGCGTCTAGCAGAGTGTGTGCTCGCATACTCCCTTAATAGACCTCAGCTTGAAAAAACGAGAAAAAAGCAGCACTAGTACAGTTTGTCCATTTTGAGATGCCGTAGGCAACATAGTCAGAATTAATCTAAGATAACTCAAGAAATCTGTCATTAATTTTGATGTTTTTGCAGAAGAGATCTTAGTCTCCAAATTCTACATTGAAATAAGATGTTTGGTGCAGTATTTCTCAATAAAAAAATGTGCATAAAAACAAAGACTTTATTGAAGAATCCCTACTGTTGACCAATCACAGTCGAAGGGGACTTCGGCTACCGACTTCGGCTTGCCTCAAGAAAAAATGTGTGCCCGAACAGCCGAAAAAACCCTAACTGAAGTCCAAAACTAACAAAAACATCACAAAATGTCATAATATATGCACAAACTCTTACTAACTGTTTGGGTTGGGAAGCATGCGGACACCTTAACAGCTCCAGTCAATGATTTCCAGCTGTGGCTGAACCCACTCCATTGATGCACAGCCCTGCGTGTGTTGTACCTGGTTCCCCGCTCCGATGACAAACACGCCTCCCAGGACGAAGCCCTCCCCCAACATGTTGCCCTGGTAACCGGCCTTCCAGGCCCGCATAAAGTTCTGCCACACCCCCAGACGGATGAAGCCCAGCCCCCCCATCTTCCTCTGTAGTGGGCCATAGAAGTGGTGCTGCAACGGACACAAGTAAACCAATCAAAGGACACGAGTAAACCAACCAATCAATGGAGAAAATAAAAAACTCAGGCACAGACAATAGGCATACTATATCGACACATGCTTCAGCTCCTCTGCTTCATAGCAGGCCTGTGTAGAAATCGATTCAAACATGTTCACAGTTCTTTCAGTTGAACGCATTCAGTTGTACAACTGACTAGGTATCCCCCTTTACCTTTCCTTCTTTCAGGCCAGTGCAGATGAAGGAAAAGAGACAAGGAGAGGAAGCCTTTGTTAGACTATTGAGATGTACCCATAGAGTCTGGGTCCGTCTCACCTTCTATAGACTATTGAGATGTACCCATAGAGTCAGGGTCCGTCTCACCTTCTATAGACTATTGAGATGTACCCATAGAGTCATGGTCCGTCTCACCTTCTATAGACTATTGAGATGTACCCATAGAGTCATGGTCCGTCTCACCTTCTATAGACTATTGAGATGTACCCATAGAGTCTGGGTCCGTCTCACCTTCTATAGACTATTGAGATGTACCCATAGAGAGTCAGGGGGTGTTTCTCAAAATGCATACTACCATGCTCCAAGCACGGGAGGTTCGGAGTATGAGTCCAAATCAAAGTATACGAAACGGAGCACACTTCTCGAATGAGTATATTTTAAAGCATGCATCGATGCAAGCTTCAATGGAAAGTATGCAAAGAAATATGATGCAACGACATAAAAAGTGATGCAACATTTCTTGAAATCAATGCCGGACATTATTTGAGCTGAAGCGAGAGAAAATACACTCTCATCCTCACAAGAACGTACTCAAGAGAACGTGGTTGGAGAATGCACTCGGAGCATGAGAGTGTGGAGCACAGTAGTATGCATATTGAGAAACACCCAGGGTCTCACCTGTTCGTCTACGTAGATGTCCCCAGCGAAGTGCGGTCGGAAGTCCTGGATCTCCGTGCCGATGTTCTCCTTCACCACGGCAACCAGAGGGACCCCGAGCTCCTCAAGCTGGGTCTTCAGAGAGGACAGCTCGGAGGCTTCCTACACACACAATTAGTACAATTATTTTAATAGGTTGGTGCCTCGTTCATCTGGAATTGAGGCCTGCAGATTTCTCCTAATGCATACAGCGGAATCTACCCAACAACAACATATGGTGTGGATATAGACTTGATTTTGGATATACTTTCCCTCCAACTATACTGTAAAGTATCAGTGACATCATCACTTCACCTCTCTGCACAAAAATCATCCGGGCCGTCGTACGGCCATAACTACTGCTCCCGTCTTCTCCCACAGAGCTTTGGCCTTTATGGTCTTCTCATCTGCAGGACACACACATATACAGGTCATGCATTGGGACCAGGGCTCTTCAGTGTAACCATTTTGCTGTGTGACCTGGATAAAATAAAATAAATCTAGGAGCACCAATGTGCCTAGATTTTTTTTTTTTTATGTCCCAGATAATAATTGTTGTAATGATTAGGTTTAGCTCTACCGTTGTTTCCGACAGCCGAGAAAAAAAAGCGAGCGTATATTTGTTAGCATATTATGGACCACAAAATGCCCTGCTCAGAGCTATACGATAGATATTCAGAGTTCTGTAAACTCTGTTTGAGATTTCAAATCTTAACAGCTGCCATGTTGGCACCAAAAGCTCTAACCCTGCTACATTCTAGTATGAATGTAAAACAGAATGTCATTGTCATACTGTAGAACGTTTGGTGCCAGCATGGTCGACAGTTTTCTGCACTTTCCGGCCATGCCCACGTGATTGTAGGTGAACCAGGGCCCGTACCGTCTCCAGTGGAGCGGAGGTCTGCGTCCTCCAGGTACTCCAGCGAGGCCTGGGCAGCCTTGGTCAGACACAAGTCAGTATTGGCCAGAAAGATCCCAACGATGGCCACTCCTAAGGCCCCCAGACCCAGCGACCACATCCCCATCTCAAACAGCTCCACCTCGAGGCCGGAGGACAACACTGCAGCCAAAAAGACCGGAGAAAACATAGACAAACATGATTATCAGAGTTATTTATTGTTCTTAGGAAGGGAGAAACTTTAAGAGGAACCAGAGCCTAGAGAAGAGGGCCGGTCTTCTTACTCTGTCATGCCACACTTACATGTGTAATGATTTCTGGTACTGTTAGGTAATGGGACTTTACTGTTAGCGAGAGGCAACATTCCTAGGCATGGGTTAGGGGGTGGGAAGGTCAGGGTCACTGATATAGGCCGTAAGACAAGTAAAGGGAACTAGCCTAACTCCATGCAATGTGTCACTAGAGAGAGAGATAATGTAATGCTCCTTGCCTGATTTGGGCTTTTTAGGTTCAGGGCTGGATGAGGCTGTGCTGAGGTGAAAGGCTTTTAGACAGGGGAGTCTGGCTGTAGGGTTGTGAACGGTACCCCCCAGAGGCAGGGCAGAGATGTGCAGAGTCTGAGATAGCCTCCATCTGGCCCTTAGGGCTTTAGCGGAAGGTCTGGAGAGGGCTTGGACCAGGGCCATGGTGACTGTGTAAACACAACCTATCAGAACTTTCTCTGACCCCTATAAAAAAACACACCCTCAGAATTTCTCTGAAAAGACAAAAAAAAATGAGCGTGAAATCACTTGTGTTTGAAAGATAGCATTGGCACATGCAACTACTGTTAGGAAGTAGTGACTGAGGTTCAAACAGTAGGCTAAAAACTATGTTTTTGTTTATCTTTTCAGAGACAGCCTAGGTAGGGCTGGCACAATTACCATATAACCGTATAACCGTCGGTTATGGATGAAGACCATCATGAAAATAAAATAACCTAAAAAGAAACAAAAATGAACAGCTGACTGAAAAGTGTGACAATTTGCTTGGTAAACTAATGGGTACATTCGCAATGGCTGCCTGGTATTGTGATGCAATCATTTCCATGTAGTATAGAATGTTAATTAAAATGATGTTAAAGGTAGATTCAGCGAAATGACATTGTCACGAGCAGCACCGCAGATATTGAGATGAGCGAGATGCAAGACTTCGCTCTCACACGGTGACACACAGTATCTGTGCATGTGCACGGGTTCGCTTCATGCTGTTACAGCGTGGAAGCCAGGGGACCAAAACAGCAGAGAAGTTGAGCCTCGTGCTTGACCCACTATGCCGTTTAGCCTACTTTCTGCATCTACATCATATTGCTGAGTCTACCTTTAACTGATGTGGCTCATGCAATGGAATGTATTTTTGGTAATGTCAGTTGAGTTTAATCAACAAATACCTGCTTTACTTCCTGTGTTTAATGTCAGTTGAGTTTAATCAACAAATACCTGCTTTACTTCCTGTGTTTACTTCCTGCTTTGCGCCTCGCAATGGCCACCAGTCCACCCATTATGCCATCATTGGGCTTGTTCGACATTGCAGCCAACAGTGCAGATGACAGCCGACTGACTGATCTACAAAGAACCTTGCATCATAATTAACACTCATTATTATTTGTAGATCAGTCATTCAGTCACAATTTAACCATGATACATTACGATTTTTATCCTCTCCAACACAGCCATTGACTTGAATGGGGACGCCCATTCTATTCATTCTATTTCTATAGCTGAACATGCAGTCAGGAGCGGAGGAAAGGAGAAAACGTGCATAATTATTTTTGTTACTATTCGAACGGTTATTACGGTGACCGCGGTCATTTGGCTGGCAAATAGATGCGGTAAAGAGGGTCCGATTTGGATATTTGGCTGTTTTAATTGCATAAGACTTTTCAGGTTTAGAAGAATAGACTGCTAAATGCTAACTCCCGTTTGTATAAGCTGGTAGCATAGAGAAATCGGTGGTGTTAGTCAGTCATTTTTTAACTGTAATGCATTTGATTGGTGACGATGAGATGAACGTGTATTGGGGTTGACATCCATACAAGCGTTATACTCCTATTTGTACCTCAACATAGTGTGAAATACACATAAACAATAGCTTAAATGTAGGCTAATTTTGCTAGGGGGCAATGAGGAGATTCCGGATATTTCCCCCACGCGTTTCGTTGGCATTTCCAATGTTCTGCTCGAGTTCCACTAACCTCTTTACCTCTATTACCGTCATCCAAAATTCCATGACCGTCACAGCCCTAAGCCTGGGGAATGTAGTTTAAATGTGTACAGTGGGCCGTTGACGAAGAAAAGGAAGAACTAGACTTTCACTGTGTGTAAAACTTTCACTCTGGTCAGTATTGTCTGGGTGGGTCAGTTCAGTACACTACAGTAAAGTAGAGTACAGTAAAGTATATTATAGTTCAGTACATTATATTTTACTCAACTCTAGTGTGCTCTACTGTGTTTCGTACTGAACTCTATTCTTCTGTACAGGACTGTACTCAACTTTTTTTTCTTCCCTTTACTGTACTGTGCTCTCCACACTTGTGAAACATAGATGTCTACGATTGGTTCAGATTTGGTCCGGTGCGGACCAAAAACCACTTTTGTGGACATTGAAATCAAGGCCAGGGCGGACTGACCATATTTCAACTACTTTTCAAAGTCCATGGATGTCCAGTGTCGGTCAGTGCTCAGTGGGTACGGATGCTGGTTACAGTAAATGGAAAGAGAGGGGGCTCTTGAGCAGATGTCAGTAAGAGACGGGAGAGGTGACATTAACTGGAGAGACAGAGAGAGAGGGAGGGGTTGTCCAGGCTGTTTTCACACTTGCTTTGACCACCAGACAGAAAGAGAAAAAAAACACAGTTATGAGTTGAATGTAACAGTAAGCCAGTGGAAGGGAGGACTGTAGCAGGTGACCCAACTATGGTTTGTGACTACTATGATTTCTCATTGTAGCCAATTCAATTGCAGTAATTCCGTCACTGACTTGGTTAAAGAATTGAGTTTTAATCACTTAATAATTCATAAACCAAATAGATAAGTAAAAACACTAACTAATTGGTAGGTCTACCTTTACTTGTTACTTCTGTGAACTTTCATTATCCTCCCTCCTCATGAGGGAGAGAAATTACAAAATATCTTAAAAGATATGTGAGTTTTTGGTACTGGAATTTCAAAGCACAGGGCAATATTTCTTAAACTTACACAAGGCAAATAATTTCTCCAAAACGAAATATAAGTGTTGATATTAGTTGTCAGGGGTCTTTCTTTCAACATTATTGTGTGTTGATGTATAGATGGGTTAGCTGACAATGTCACGAAAAAGATAGGCACGCTTCAATGGGGCAGAAGTCTGTGTGTTGTTGTGGATCTGGATGGTCAGACAGCTAGCTAACCAACAACTAACGATGTATTTGAGCGACAACAAGTGCTCATTGTGCAAATGTATTTATGTTTTCAATAAACATTGGAGACTAAATATAGTTTACATGTTGTCAACAATCTAACCAACCCTGTCTGTTTTGCCCCATAGTTGCGCACACGTCGGTTTTGTTGCTGAACAACCAACCTGTGTATTTCCAATACCTTTTAAGACTTTTTCTGGTAGATGTTTTCTAAGACTCCTTTTCTATCTGTTTGGCCAGAAATCAAAGCCTTATTCCTTATATTTAGGATAGAAAATGGTTAAAATTTGTATTTCTCAAAAATATAGACTAAGCTTTCATTTGTCATGCTCCTATGAACACATATTGGTGCCCATGGGTCCTTGTTGAATGAATGACAGCAAACCTGTTTGTCTACATTCCATTTTCTCAGGAAACTGATGGCATGACTAAGTAACAAACATGAACTGCTCCGTTTGTTGTGGCTTATCTTAAGTAGACTGTACTGGCCTGTTAGTCACAGTATGTGGTTATACAGTTATGGGTGTGACACACACTTGTGCGTGCACACACACACACACACCATAATGCCTCAGACCATAGCTTACATGGCTAATCCTCCTTCCCCTTGTATAAGCAAGAGGGGCCTTAAGATACAATGTTACAGACAGTACACAGTGAATCATCAGTATAGTCAACTGAGCATAATTATTAGTAGTCTATATGGATACGAACAATATACTGTTACTGTATTGTCACGGCTAGCTTAGACGTGGATTTTTCAAGATATAGATCATTCAGTATTTTCAGTTCTCTCTGAACACTATGGACAAGACAATGAATGGTCCACCAAATGTTTAGGGCCTACATGCATTAAATATATGTGAAACCAAACTGAACACAAACCTACACGCATGGTCATTATAAAAATACTCAAATTCAATTTTCAAACATCGATTCATATATCAAACAATCACCCACTGAAGCTGTGCACTCATTTTCCTCAAGTTCAGCTCATTCAATCCCAAGTACTCTGTTCTGCACTTCACTGTGACTTGACAGTCTTGACTAACTACTGCAGTGTGACTTTCCCTTCTCAGAGAGAGTACAAAGGACTGAACCCTAATGAGAACAGCAACCAATAGCCTACCTGGCAGCTGCCCATGAACTGATTGACTGGATTCCATGTAGATAGATAGTGAAAAGGAATATTTACATTGTATAAATCAGTATCGCTAAGCTTACAGTGACAATGAGTTGAGAAACTGACTTAATATTGACAACGAAAATATGAGAACATAGGATAGATAATCATGACAAAGATGAAATGGCAAGTAGGCTAGTTACATATCTGAATATTGACTGAATTCTGCACCTTCTTATTCCTTGTCTTAGAGCGCTTATTTCAAATTGAGTGACACAAATTATTAAATGTGGCTTCTCATGCAAACCCTATCAAGACAATTTTGCAGCGCTCAACTCATGGCATGCAATTTTACATAGCTTGCTTGCCTATTTGATAAGCAACCTTGAGATCCACTAAAGACAGACAATCATGTCGACTGGTAAGTGGCATTATAAAGTGAACTTTACTAGCTAGCTAAATCTATGTTGGCATTCTTTGATTAATGCATTAAATAGGCCAAGTAGAATTTAGTAGTAGCAATGACACTGTAGTTTGTTCACTTTGTAGACTTCACATTTGGCTAGCTGGCTCTCTAGGTTAGCTAGCTAGCGAAGTTAGATGCTGGCTGCACGATGACGTTAGCAAGTCAGCTTGCTGATTGAAATAATGGGAATGCTCGCAATAAAATGTTTAACAATATTTCAAATAATGTATAAAGGAATTATACTCACAAATATTGTGTTGAAGGAGGAGTGCAGTTGACGTCTCCGTTCAAAATATCTAAATTTGCCGTAGGTGTATCAGTCGATCAAGATAAATGGATTAGTCCTTGCAGGGAAACTAATCGCACAAGATAACACGGACCTTTGGCACAAATCAAAGGTCCTTTTTCACAACAAAAACAGATTGACCTATATATTTTTTTCAAAGTCTACATTGAGAAGTAATGTACCCCCCATGCGTGTGCACACACACACACACGCCAGAGCTGGTACATTCTGGTAACAGTGTAATTAGAATTACATGATCATGAACAAAAAGCAGGATTACTATTTACCAATTAGTAACAGTTTGGCTGTATATATCACAGTTATGTATTCATAGTCCGACCGATTAGGCCTAGGGTGCCAAATAAACACCCAACC